AACCACACATGGCCATGCCAGGCTTGAATGTTCTTACTGAGTATTGGATGGAACCACTTCTTTTTAAACAAGTAAAATCGCTCGTGATTGGTTGGCATATATATATATATATATATATATATATATATATATATATATATATATATATTTACATATATATATATACATATATATATATATATATATATATATATATATATATATATATATAAATATATATATATATATATATATATATATATATATATATATATATATATATATATATATATTTATATATATATATATATATATTTATTCATATATTTATTTATTCATATGCTGTATATTCATGTTATCCTACACTATTATTAGGCTACCATCAAGGACATGAATTAATTTATACAGGAAATGAACATTTGCCAGGAAGATGTTTATGCAAAGAAAGAGCTTTATTAAAACAAACACAACTATATACAACGCGAGGATCTGCCCACACATGCGTATCCAAAAATTACAACTCCGTGAACGGTCCGTTTGCTTCCTCGGGGTTGGAGGTAACTGGCAGCATTCCCTCCGAGGCAGGTCCGATGTGCAGACGCCTACTGTGCGCGGCCCTGTACTTCGGCATCGCTTCTAACCGGGACTTTGAAACAAAGAGATTTCCCAAGCTTTAAAAATCCCAAGGAGCGCTGTGCAAGGAATGCACATTTTACCTTGCTGATTCTGATTCACATTTTACCAACTGATTCTGATTAAAACAAATTTTTGAAATAAATTATTTTGTGTATTTTTTTACATAACATTTGCCATTGCTAATGGCATACACAGTAATCTAGCGTACTTTAATTAAATAAATCAATTCAAGCTAAAATGTAAGTTTCTATAATTAGGTCATACTGAGCCTGATCTATTTGTACCATCTATTTGGGGGATATTTATTGCCACACTTTGGGCCACTTAATACCAATTTAGCATCAAATAAATGAGGAAGCCTACCTCAGCATTGTTGCTGACCTTATGTCCTTATGACCACAGACTACCAATCTTCTGATGGCTACTTCCAGCAGCATAATGCGCCATGTTATAAAGTGAATCATCTCAGGCTAATTTCTTGAAACTTTTCCACTTAAGTAATTGTGAATTGAGCATATTGACAGACAACATTACATTTTTTATCTTAAATGCAATTTTTTTTTTTTATAATTACTGCTCTAAATGTATTGCTCTGTCAGCTAAAGATCAGTTTTGGTCTCTATACTTTAATTAGATAAATCAATTCAAGCTATAACATAAGAATCTATACTGAGCCTGATCGATTCGTATCAGAGATTTTCTTACCTTTTAGAAAAATGTCACCTGGGGTAAAATTCCCCCTGCAACCCTGATTTGCATTTGTATAGCTCACAGCATTTTCATTTACATGTTAAAGCCTCCCCTAGAATTCCATGGGGGGGGAGGCATGGGGGGAACACTGCCTAAGAAAGCCCACGTCAATTTCTGACAATTTATGGGAGTTTTCGGTCATGCCTGGAAATTACCGTGAAGAGCCGTTAACCTGAACTTCCACGACAATCTACAGTGCTGCATACTGACGAAAATCACACTTTTCATGCAGTGTCTGGCGAGGCCTCTGAAAAACAAGAGTGTTCTCTTTTATCATGGAAAGGTTTAATTCAAATCATTACTAAAACTAGAAAAAAGTGTACATTTTAATATGACGAAAAACATTATTTATAATTAGAGATTTTCGAAACTTATTTTGATATTGTCATGATGGGTTGTTTTACTAGCCCAAATGCAGAACACACACAGAGGAGGCAGGGAAAAAGTTCAAAGGTTTATTATAATTTGAATAAGCAGATCAGGTAGTCATCATGTCCAGGGCTGGTCTAAGCTGGGTTCCTGCCTGGAGCTGAGTTGAGCAGCAGAGGGGTTTTAGTCCAAGGCGGATTCTGAGACAGTAGTTTGAAGTCTGAGGCTTGAGGTGAGCAGGCCGAAGGAACCAGGAGGGTTCGGAGGCAGGTGGCAGGCTGAGGTCTGAGGCTTGAAGTTAGCAGCAGCAGCGTCTAGCTTCTGGCTAGTGGGCCTCAAACGTGGGTTTGGTTCCTAGTTCTTCCCTGAGAGCTGAGGGAGGAATCCAGACTGAGATCTTCTGGTTCAACTTCCTAGCTCTCCCCTGAGAGCTGAAGGAGGAATCCAGACTAAGACCTTCAGGTTTGGCTTCCTTGGGCAGGCAGGCAGGTTTCCAGACAAAGCTCATCCAGAGCTTCAGACTTCGATCAGGTTTCCTGTGAGCAAGAAGACAGAGGCAGGTCAGAATCAGGTTTCTCTCTTGAGAACTACTAAGATTCTTTCAGGTAACAGAGGCTCAGGTTCGCTAACCAAACTTAGTCAACACTGCGGCGTTGAAGACAGGTCTGGTCGCTGCTTAAGTAGGAAAGGTCTCCTGATGGGCTGACAAGCTTCAGGTGTGCTGGAGGGCTCCAGCCCAGGAGACCCACAGCGCACTCTGCTGGAGACAGATGGTAACTCTCCAAATCCCAACAGTAACCCCAGTCCTAACAGAAAAACATAAAACAGAGGAGGATCCTCGGCGCCCTCTGGTGGGCAAGCCGGAGGATCCCAACAGTTATCAGGCCAAAAAGAACCCAAATGGGATTATATCGGCCTATACCTAACTACTTGATATATAAACAAAATGCTTCTGTCTAAATTTTACATAAATTATATGTTGATCATAAATTGTCCAGTTGTTATTATACCTTGTGTTTTTGACTTTTGTTCTCTGTTTGAATAATAACGCTTGATCAAACCTTTCCTATTTTTCCACAATACAAAATAAGTATTAAAAGTATGTATTTTTTGTGGTGCTATTTTCCTTGGCCAATGTGGATATTAGTCAGTTATTAGAGTTGCAACTTCTCTATCTTAAATAAAAAAAAAAGATGTATTATTACATCCCTATTTATAATAACATTTTGTTTTCTCATCTTTTTTTTTGTTTTTGTTGCTTTTATATTATGGCCTGGACTGGAAACACGGAACTGGTCAGTATAGTTTTTAGTCATGACATCCCTATTTTTATTACATTTTGCTTCCTCAGGGCTGCTCAGTGGAGCAGCCGGCTCTGCACTGCTGCTTTGCAGCAAGAAGGTTCCGGGCTCAGGGTCTTTCTGCATGGAGTTTGCATGTTCTCCCTTTGCATGCGTGGGTTCTCTCCGGATACCCTGGCTTCCTCCCACAGTCTATAAACATGTCTGTTAAGATAACTGGCTTCTCTAAATCTTCCTTAGGTGTGAGTGTGTGTGTGAATGTTTTTTTTTTTTTTGTCCTGTTTGTCTCTGTGTTGCCCTGCGATGGACTGGTGACCTGTCCAGGGTGTACCCCGCCTCTCGTCCGTAGACAGCTGGAGCTAGGCACAAGCCCCCCTCACGACCCCGCTTGGCAAAAGGGTGACAGAAAATTAATGGATGGATGGATTTTGTTTTTCTCATTATTTTTATTTTATTTTTTTTGTATTTTTATCTATTTATTTATTTTTGCTTTTAGATCATGGCTTGGGCTGGATGCATGGAAGTGGTCAGTAGTTTTTAAAAAAACTAATGAACTATTACATGTATTTATTCACAGACCAAGAAAATACTTTTGGCTTCAATTGCCCTGAAGGATGGACAATGCATGGCACTCAATGTCTCCTGTTTGTTTCACAGAAAATGACCTGGGTTGAGGCCAGGGTAAGTGGAAATGTTCCCTGTTAGAACTAAAATAGATTAAAAGAAAAACTTATTTTAATAATAAGTTAGCTTTACACTTTGTGTGCAATAATTTCCATAAACCCATTAGCTCTTTGCTGGTAAATTCAGTTATTTCATGTTCATGGTTAAGCACCTAAAAACTGTTTTCACAGTCCTTTATATACAATATTTTAAATTAGTTTAAATTAATTAGTAATGCATTTAATAAGTCAGGTCTTCAAATATACCTGATGAACTGTACCCTAGTAAACTAGCCCCACCCGCCAGCGGCCAAAATAATTTTTGCCTGCGAGTTTGGTCTAGCCTCAATCAGTGCCCCATGCCCTAGAACTGCAGAAAGGGAGAGTAGAGATAGAATGATAAAAAGTGGTCCCTATGTCCTCCAGCAGTCTAAGCCTATAGGAACATAACTGTAGAGATAGCTCAGGATAACCTGAGCTTCAAGATTATGGATTTCTGTTTTAACTATTTAGCTTGTAAAAGTGACCTATAGTGATGATAGGCGTCTAGTACTGATATAAAAATAACATAATAATAATAAATCCTTTTAGTAGTCAACTGAATAAAAAAAAATCCTTGCAAGTCACTGAACAGGGAGCAGGGCTTGTAAGCGCCAGAGGAAGCTAAGCAGCAATTATAATACTTTTTAATAGTTTGAATGTGGCCAATAATGTCTAATTTTCTTTTTTGCGTTTGATATCTATCCCCTTTTTCAACACAGTGTTCTTTTTAAAAAATTATTTTTTAGGACAACTGTGCGTCTAAAGGTCACGGTTCACTTGCTGCTGTATATGATTCTACACAAGTTGACGAGATTTCTGAGGAGATGAAAAAAGCCGGACTTCATGGTGGAACAGTTTGGGTTGGAGGCAGCAAAACCTCAGGGGTAAAAAAATCTCCATTACAGAGTTTAAAAGCAAGAAAATGTTATTAGTGAATTTAAACTCAAACAGATTTCTTTTTCTCTTGTAGGATCCTGATTGGTCCTGGGATTATTCTATCATGGATCAATTTGCTGAGTTCTGCAGTGGAGAACCTGCCGATGACGAGAACTGTTTGCAGATAACTTTTAATGGTAGATCCTACTTTAACATTTCATTTAGGTTTAAAGTTTCTCATAAAGACATTAAAATCACTTTGGGGTGTGTACAAATGATGTGTAGAGCATTAACACAAAGTTCAACCGTATTTGCATCCACAACACGACACCTAAGCAGTTGATTTAGTTTAACTACATAGTATGTTTTTTCTTTCTGTGTGCAGAGAAGAACTCAGGGTGCCTGGAAGCCCAGCGGTGTGACATGCAGCTCCCCTCAGTCTGTGCGATCCTCCTCTATTAGTCTAGAAAGACCAATGAATCTTCAGCAGAGATTAGTTAAGGCATCTTTTGACAGTTGGTCACTCATTCCTTTGTTTTCCCTTCATGTTTATGCTGTGTGGCTTTAGGGACCAAAAAAGTACAAACAATTTACTGAAACAATGTTGTATTATTTTGTTTCCTTTTTTTTGGTCCCTTAACTTTTAACAACAGATACCTTTTTATTTTTAAGTCTTTAGAAAGTCTACGATTACTATTAATATTTCATCCCAATAAAATCTTTATCATTGCATTAAAATCATCTTTCTGCATTAAAAGATTAGTGGGATGTCTGTTTATTAAAGTGAAACATACAAAAGACAAAACATTGTATGGGTGTGAAGTGGCGAAGAAACATGCATGATATTTTAAGGGGACCAGCTCGACATTGTAACTCTCTCTGCAATTTGTAATTCTAAAATAAAATATTACAAAATAGTAGAGATAATAGTAGATATGATCTACATTTGGACACTGGTGCAAGTTTGGCTCTGACATGTTAAGCTTTGCCCAGTAGCCCTCAGACTACACACATATTTAACATTCTTTTCTTTTCTTTTCTTTTGTTTATTTCTCATCACCAATGAGTTATTGTTGATTTTGATATTCTTGGGGAATGAATGAAAAGTCAGAAACATGCTAGTCAATATTATCATACTAAACAAATGTAATAACTAAATGGGACTAAAAGTCATAAAAAACATTGTATATATTAAAAAAATGTAATGTAGTAATAGTACTGTCGCACTTCTTCAACATATTTCTATTCATGTGGAAATAAGAAGTAGTCATCTAATAAATCACTCAAGAGATAAAAAGTAATTGGGGAAAAGTGCTTTTTAAGTACTGAGTTACTGTTTTACTATTTCAATTTAGGTTTTAAGTATTGAATAAAAAAAATAAGGCATAAAAACCCTTCTTAAAATAATGTTTTTTGTCATAATGTATTAAATTATTTCTGAAAGTATATAAAATACACATGATGGAGGGTAAACTACCTTCAGTGACAGAGTAAACGCTTTACTGTTATTACCTTGACCTCCATATCATAGAGGTCTCAGCTGATATAGGTGACCAGAGATGGCAAAAGTACTCACTATCCGTACTTGAGTATAAGTAAAGATAATTGTGTTAAAAAATACTCTGGTAAAAGTGGAAGTACTGATTAAACTTCTTTACTCAAGTAAAAGTAACAAAGTACAGGCTTGTAAATTTACTTAAAGTATAAAAGTAAAAGTAGAAACCACTTTTTTCATGCCGTTGCCTACATTTTAAATGGATGTCTGCCAATAGGACTAGATCTCCGTTGTGTTCATTTTCTATCATCTCGTTGTCCATGCTACTATGCTAACGCCACCGCCACCAAGCTGCAATGATTTGCCGCCAATGAATACCGCCGAATCTGTCGATTCATCTTGTAGTGGTGCGTCAAATGCAACGTAGATTCCCATCCAATTAGATTGAATTTGGTATTGATGACGTGAAAAATAATAACGGTAACTCCATTGAAATGATTCAAAACTAAAGTAACGAGCCAATTTTTTAAAATGTAAGGAGTAGAAAGTACAGATATTTGTGTAAAAATGTAAGGAGTAGAAGTAAAAAGTCGCCATAAAAATAAGTAGTAAAGTAAAGTAAAAATATCAGAAAAATCTACTTGAGGCAGTAACGAAGTATTTGTACTTCGTTACTTCCCATCTCTGTAGGTGACATTTAAACAATGAATGCTGTGTAAACTGTTCGCCTTTGTCTGGTGCATTTTAGTTTAAAATATGATTCCTTCTGCTGTAAAGTTGCAGCAAAACCTCATGAGGATATTACTTAAATAAAAATAGACAGAGTGTAGTGAAACTACTCCTGAAAGACTATTTCTTAATCAAAAAATTACTCAAGCAAATGTAACTGAATAAATGTAACAAGTTACTACCCACCCGTGCATCCTTTATAGCATTGTTAGTTTGCAAATTGGATCCCAGGCCAGAAACTAATGCTGTTTTTTGGCGGGGCTGCTGCATGGATACGTTATGGAACTCCCTTGCAAACAGAACTGAGAATTTAAATGGGAGTATAAAACTAGGTGTTATTGAACTATAGAGAGTAATCTGAATAAAACGGCAATGCTTTACTTCAATAAAAGTGTATATACAGCAGAATAACAACATATAAAAAAAACTGCAAGTTTTCTGAAGTAAATATTTTGGTCTCCTGACCTGATTCGCCCAAAACCAATATTTTATTTCCCAATACGGATTTGGTTGAGATGTTTGCAGAGCAAACAAACTGACAGCTACATGATTTATATATGTTTGCTTTAAACCGCTTTCAACTGACAACTGACCTGACCCAGGAAAATCAACAACTTAGAAAATGTACTCTAGTGAATAGAACAGAGAACAAAAAGATGCAAATAAAGGATCTAACTTTGTCAGAAAGTTAAAAGACAACTAGTAATATCATAGAAGTAGTAGACATGGCCAGACACCAACTCCCATGTGGACCGCAGGAAATATAAAGGATGGCTGTAATCATTGTCATTATTGTTTTTATGACAACCGCAAGTTTAAGTAGACTGATATGGAGATATATGGCATCATCTGGTGAAAAAACAGAAACAAAACCAAAATTCATAATAGGTAGCACAAATTGACAAAGTAACATAAATAAATGTATTTGTTTTTCAGGTTGTGTGGGACCAGACATGACAGACACATTTGTCTGTTTTTCTCTAGAGTTGAACCATTTTAGGTTAGTAGAGAACTGACACACTTGGCATCATCCCACAACATATTGATATTCTTATCGTAGATTTCTCCTACTTTTTTATTTTGCACCACAGGTTTTTAAAAAACGTAACTTCAGTAAATAATTGCAAATAATCCTCACAAACCTGATGTAGTCCACCTGGGCTTCCCAGGTTTGTGTGAAATAACATGCAGGTGTTCATTCATTTAACAAACTTTACTGGTTAGGGGATCGAGATTCTGCTGGCTGGGAACTAAGCAGCAGAATTAAAGGACCAGTAAAAGCTGAACAGTGGTGAATAAATAAGAACCGTTAATGACATGGTTGCATTGTTACAGAAGAAAAAATTAAATAATGCAAATACAAAACATTTGATTCAAAACCTATTAAAAAAGTACTGATGGAGGCAAGAGTTGTAAAAATGCTCAACCAAACAACACAACATTTTGCAAAATCTCTTAATATGCACAAACACGTCTACTGTATATCTCCACACCTTGTCTGTCACCCCTTCATCACACTTTGTGTCTCTCTGTTACAGCATATAATAAAAATGTTAACTGCAAAACTCTAATGATGATGATGAATGAGGATTTCAGCCAGACCCAGTGTGTAATAAAAAAGTGTAACATGTGTAATATAAAAGCCAAGGAGCTGATATGGAGTGAAATGAATGCAAGTCTTACTTGGGAAGGAGTTTTAAGCAGCAATACATTTCTGAACTTTATATCAATTTTCTGTTCCAGACATTATTTCAATAGTAACTCGATCTAACATAGATCTCACTTGCTGTTCTTTCTTTCAACCACGTCTCATCCATCAGAGGCTTTTTAGTGAAAGACTTTTACAGCCTGTTTGTATAAAGGAATCCCAAGGCGTTCCCCTGCCCAGTCTGTCCTGGGTCTCCCACTGGGTGTCCTCCTGTTGGAAGGTATCCAGGAGGCATCCTAACCAGAAGCCCGAGCCATCTCAGTTGCTCCTCTTGAGATCTCTCGGCAGTGGGACACATTTTTTTCTCTAAGTTTTGCTCTCTGCTGATTAATCTGTATTTCTAATTATGTTTTAAAACACCATCTCTGCTCATTACAAATCAGGGTAATTTTATTGTAATTGTAAAAGTTTTTACATATGAAACATTTGTGCTGTATACAATGCGGGGGAAGTCCAGCTGTAAGTTTAAGGGCTCTCATAAAATATGAGTTTATAAGCCTGATGCTCAGTGTAGTTAGTTTCAGTGTGGTTTCACTCTGGTTGGAACCCTGGTAAACTTTTTATTTATTTATTTTTTTGACATTGCAATTTTAAAAGAGTCCCATTTAAGAAAGCGGGATGAATGAGAATTTAAAAGAAGTTTAGGGCAAATCCTTGCATACCCAGGATTTTTTAATCCCACTCATTTCATTTACTTTATATTGCAGTTTTTTCTTTAAACCGTCTTGAGTCAGCTCGAGTTATCCTCAGTCTGTCGTACATTTGAGCTAGGATCAGACACAGAAAAGTGTAAGAAAAGGTTTATCCTTTACTGCAGAAGCCCATCCTGTACGGATGTGTTTTCAATATTTGATCCCCTGGGCTCAATAAGTTGGATGGAAGAGGAAGATCTAAGGAGGGGGTAGCAATCTGTGAGAGATCTGAAAGGTATTGAGGAGCAATGAAGTAATGGATGACCGCATACGATAGGATTTTGAAGTAAATTGTTAAGCTTGGAAGGAGGCAGATAAGCTCTTTTTAGACTATGTTGATGTGAGGAAATGAGGGGATTTGGTAATTGGTTGGATAGCACCCTTCCCTGGACTCCATCATTCTGCTGGGGGACTTCCCCGCCCATTTGGGAAATGATAATGACACCTAGAGGGGTGTGATTGGAAGGAATGGAGCCCCAGCTCTGAACCTGAATGATGTTTAATTACTGTACTTCTTTGCAAGTCATGGATTGTCCATAATGAACACCATGTTTAAGCAAAAGGATGTCTATCCCTGCACTTGGTGCCAGGACACCCTTGGCCAGAGGGCTAGCCTTTATGGACTGGATTTCTAAGTACACCTAAGGGCTGGAGGGGGTCTGGTTTAGGTACTACTGGATTTTGTCCCTGCTTATTGCAGATGGCATGGCTCTGCTGGCTCACTCTTGCCAAGAGCTACAGCTTGCACTGTGGCAGTTTGAATCTGAGTGTAAAGCAGCTGGGAAGAGAATTGGCTTCTTGTCTGTGGTCATGATTCTCGACAGGAAAAAGGTGTCTTGTACACTTCAGGTTGGAGGAGAGTTCTTGCCGCAAGCGGAGGAGTTTAAGTACCTTGAGGTCCTGTTAACAAGTGAGGGGAGAATGGAGTTTAAGATCGACAGACGGATCGTTGCCTCTGCTGCTTTGATGCAAACACAGCATTATGTCGGCTCCATCTGGCCCATTCTCTATGCGGGTGTCTTGCCACTATTGAAGGAATTTCTTGGACTACTACTGCATTTACAAGACATCCCAAGCCGGTCTGGATGAAGAGCACCATCTCCGATTCTGCTTAAAATTTCTTCGCATGGGGAGTTTTTTTTTTTTTTTTTTCCTCCATGGTGGCTTCATCCTTTGCTCATCTTGAAGGTTCATATGAACCTGCACCTTATTCCAGCTGGTATCCGTCTTCATTTTAACTTAATGGATCAATGGATCCTGCTTCTGACATTTTGCTGTATCAGTAAGTTGTGCTGCAGCTCATGTTTGTAAATTATACATTTAAACCAGATTTTACAAGGTAATCTCTACAGATATGTGTATTACCCACTGAAAAAAATACATCAAAAATGTCAACTTTCCCTTGTCATCTTGTATCGTCTTGTTGCAGCGCTTTCAATTCTGAGTTTTGCAAAAGCAATAACAGGACAACAGCTTAATTCAACACAGTCCAATGTTTATTTTTATACATTGAATTGTGTTTCTAAAACCAATATGGTCTGTATTTTTATAAATTATTATTGCAGATCAACAAAAACACCAGGAAATGCCCTCTGATCATTGTTTTTCACTTCTTCAGGAGGAATGAAGTCAGCAGTCTCTTTTGACGCATACGTAGGGTAGATTCAATGAACACCTCCTTTCACCCCAGCAGGAGGATGCTGGGAACAAGAGAAAATTAAATCCGGAAATGCAGAACCAACCAAACCTTGAGACTTCTTAAAAAGTCCTCCAAAAGCGAAAATAACAAGAAAATAAATTGGGTTAAGCAAATTACTATTACAATAGTAGCTATTCAGAATGGCCCTTCCCAGTCAAATGCCAGCCGAATGGCAGCACACTTCCTTCCAACTCCAATTGAAATCCCCTCCAACTTCCAGCCTCTGGAATGACCCCCCTCTTGCATATTTTCTTACTCTGACTCCACCCTTCCACTGAATTACAGGGACTTACCAGGAGGTGACGTTTCTCTTTAGATCTTAATGTCCACAAATCACGACAGAAAGAATATTTTAGTGGAATGATTGTTGTTAAAAAGGAATTGTTGGGGACCAGCCAACGACCAGACAAAACTACTAAAAGAATCATTTTATATTTGTAGAAATTTCCAAATATTTTTGCGTTGTTTCTATTTACCTCCATGATTCATTATCACACAGTGCTGTTTTCAATACAAGTCATCTGGTTGCTTGTTACACCAGTTTGCATCCTGGAATTTGCTGCCATCACTCTAGAACCAAATGTTGTCCTGGAAATATACATTTTTAGGTTACATATTTCATCTTAGAAATTGCTAAAGTACAAACAAAAACCATGTGTTTATTTACCTCCTGCGCATCAGTGGCTCCGATCCATACTTCTGCATACCCATCACCTGAAGCTGATATCAGGCCATTAATATAAACGGATTCCTCATAATTATGGACGGATGCAAGGTTTGCCTGCATGGACACACAGTCTCTCTGCAATGGAGACCGAGAACAGCTTGAGGCAAAGGAAAAGAAAGCACAAGTAAACTCTGGCACAGAGTTTGAGAAAATTAATGATAAAAGCAACAAAAAATGACCTCAGCTTGAGTTCAAGTTCTGCATGTTGAAAAGTACTTAAAGCAACGACCATTGAGGTGAGACCAGCCCCAAGGACAGGATCTTTTAGCCATGTCAGCATCTTTACCAGCTGAAAACAAAAAAGGTGAATTTATTAGTAAATATGTGGCAGTGTATTTCCTTTACAGATTAATGGAATACTATATATTTTTTTAAAGCTCGTCCAAGATATATATTCTTTTACATAAAATGAATCTCATAACACTGCATTATTTCTGTATGTTTCCAATGAAATGAAGGAATAAATGTTATTGATATAATAAGTATTTTATCAGCCCAACTACAAAACAAAGAAAAGAAAATCTACAATCAAATTAAATCAAACTCATAAGAACATTAAAAAAGTTAACCAAATCTGAAATATTACAAATAATGTAGATTATAAATACTCATCTAGGAGCAGGTGACTTTCAGGATTCATCCGTGTCTTCTAATTTTTGATTTTACTTTTTTTGTGCTTTTAATGAAAAGTGCTTTCTTTCTTACTTTCCTTAAAACTATGAAAATGACTATAAAATAAATCAGACTCACCATCTGGAACAATTTCCTTATCCTCAGCTTCAAGGACTATATTTGGAAAAATGTTTTTTTTTTTTTTATATCACAATAGGTTGTTTAGGTTATAAACAAAAAGATTGTAAGATTCACAAACCTTTATTATCTTCTAGTATCTCTGCTTCAGGAACAACTGTAGGTTTGATACAGCTTTTAGTATCAAATGTACATGTAGTCTGCATTATGAGCAACTTGATAATGATTAATCTGACAAATGTCATAAATCCAACTTATGAATTGAGTTTATGCACTAGGAGAGCATATACTTACCAGCTGCTAGACTCAGAGCCAACAAGGCAGCAAGAAATAACTGGACAGTCAGTATCCTCATTGTGGAAAAGATGTAAATTGAAAACAAACTAACCTTCAGGAGGAAGAAAGAAAATAAACATTCAGAAGACATTTTAGTACAATAATATACATTAGGAATTTTAATTTCACAAACCGCAGCTGGATTATCTTCTATTCTAGTCTGCAGCCTTTGCTTCAGTGTATGGAGCGGCTGGAAACATTCTCTTTTATATCACTGGCTTTCGGTCCAAAACAAACTACTGTACATGTGTGTTTTAGACACTTTTCTCAGCTGCATTATTATCTTTGGGTAAAACAATAAAAGCTTTCCGGTAATCAAGCTTGTACATTTTTATGACATACCATTACCTGTGGATCGGGTTATATATTATGCTTATTAATACATAGCATTTAGCTTTTATAGTCTCATATACAAAACCTGTAATTCATTTATTAAGTTTATATCCTAGCTCTATCCCTAAATATTATATATTGGCATTATGTGTGAGGTGAAGGTAACAGGGGTCCCGGTGGTAATCAGAACTCCCTGAGCTGTGAACGTAAACTGGAGGAAGTGCTCCAAAAGATTCCTGGCACGCCATCTGAGATAACTGTGCAAAAGTCAAGCAAACTGCCTAAATCCTGATCAGGACACCAAACTATTTACAAAAAACTGCAACAGTCCACAAGATCATAGCCTTAAGTGCAAAATGTGTGTCATCAGCTGCTAAACATAGCCCACAGATTAAGGACACAGGTACTCACTATGTTTACTTCTATAAAACCTAATCTTAATAAGTGTGGTAGCTTAGTTAAGAGACACCATTTAAAGTTATTATTTTAATATTTAATGAAAATGTGTTCATATTGTGGGCCAGTAATCAGTAAGACAATTTAGTCAATTTACGAAAAGAATTTAATATTGTACAAATTAGTATTTATTTTGTATATTTAGGTCACCTAAGACAAGTAGCACTCCTAGTAACCTGATAACAGCTGTTATCAAATTGATTCAGGGAAGTACACAATAAAAGTCCCATTTAGACTTTGGCTGAGTAAAGGTTATTAAAATGTTTTTAAAAATCAATGATTTGTAAAAATGTGTATGTTTGCATTTTCCTAATATATCCTCTTTAATAACTTTGTTAATTTGGATAGGGTTAGGGTTTCCGAGGCTTTTGCACTGTTACGTCTCTCTGGTTATAACATTCAGTTATAACCATATAACATTCTTCAAATATGGTTCAATAAATAATAAGGCAATTTCTTCTGTTTGATCCAACATAGGATATTTATTCAGCATTAGGAGGATAGGGTACATCCACATCCAACACAATCACAATCCTGGACATTTATATAGAAAGTGTTATTACTGTTGTGTGTGTAGGTTTCTCAACTTATCTAAACTAATCCTGAATTATGTTTAAAGGGTCCTTGTATGATTTCAGAATTATGTGAACTAGAGAAACCTTAAATGTTGGACCCATTTGGGCAGCAACGGGGCGGGGGTGACCTCCCCCTTAATTCTCCTTTGTTTTTTAATCAGCTATTAGTCCCTCCTCGCGTTTTCCCCTCAATATTTGTGGATTTTATTGTCCGGATTGAGTCTTCTCACTGAATAGGCTAGGCCTCTGTGGCTCCATCAAAATCTATGCTGCTAAGGTCCTGAGCAAAAAAGCAGCGGTAATTTTAAATTTGACACTCAGTTTAGAGCAGTTGTTACATCTTGTTTTTTTTTTTTTTAACTAAAGGTAGCTGGCAAAACAAAAATAATTTTTTGTTGCTGTGCAGCTATAATATATGTCATTGCGAGCCCAGCATTTGGTGGTAAATATATTATTTAATCAGATAATACTTGGCCTGTCTTGTCAACATATACCCAATGGGCTATGTGTTAGAACAACATATTGAAAGTGTGAACTAAGCGCAAATCAGGGTCAGACAGATAATTCTGCTCATATATGAAATAAATTTACCACAACATCAAATCAAAATATAAGAGTTTTTAACAAAATTCATTTAGCTTCAAGTCACACATCATTCAGATGAAAAATCTTGACTGTGAAACTCAACTAAACTAAGCTACTATGTGCACAAAGAACCAAGAAGGAAAAACATGCTGTTAACCTGATATGATTGAGCAAGTAGCTAGCAAAACTGAGGACTGTGATTAAACAGATGTTCTTGTCATAAGTCAGTTAACAAAATGAAATGAGCATATAAGGAAACACTTGAAAATTAATGTTATGGCGTGCTTCAGTGGCCAGTGGTAAGCGCCCATGACCCATGTACGGAGGCCTTAGTCCTAGACGTGGCCGTGGAATGGAATGTTAAAAAATCATTAGGAAAATATAATTATCCATCCATTTTCTGTCACTCTTATCCCAAGCAGGGTCGCGAGGGGTGCTGGTGCCTATCTCCAGCTTTCTACGGGCGAGAGGCGGGGTCCACCCTGGACAGGTCGCCAGTCCATTGCACAGACACAGAGACAAACAGGACAAACAAACATTCACGCACACACTCACACCTAAGGAGAATTTAGAGAAGCCAATTAACCTAACAGTCATGTTTCTGGACTCTGGGAGGAAGCCGTAGTACCTGGAGAGAACCGACACATGCACAGAGAGAACATGCAAATGCCATTCAGAAAGACTCCAGGTGTTATTATTAGGTATCAACAAATACCTATTCTAGAGCACAGTTTAGAACATTTATTAAAAAATAAATAATTCTAACAAGGGTTAGGGGATTCCTAACAAGCACCAAATTTTACTTGTTAGGAATCCCTCCACCTCTCTGCTTAGCATCCGCTTCTAGCAGCTAATGATTTGAACACTGACAAAAGAATTTCCCCTGAAAGGATTACATTTTGTGATGCAGTCATCAAAACCATCCCGATACAAAAATGAAAGGGTTTTATACTCAAAGCAAACCTTAAAATCTAATAGCTGTCTATCTTCTCTTTCTGTAGCAGAAGAAAAAAAACATTTTACAAGTGAATTTCTTGTGGTAACACTCAATTAAGTTAAACGAAGTTGACACAATAACATCTATCAAAATGGGTGATCATTTACATTTTAACAGAACTTTAGTTCACAGCAAAACAAAGATAAGGTCATTTCAAATTATGATTTTTTTTTGTCAGCAACTAGGATCAGTTGCTGTTCCCCGTGAGGACATTTGTATTCTGGAGATTAACAAGAAAGAGCAGCAGCTCTGACCTGTTGGCTAACCCTTATAAAAAAATGTATGTTGTGAAGAGGTTTTAAATTTTAAGTATTTGTATAACAAACTCTCTGACCATCATTTTATCATCCCTATGTATGTCTACCATCTGTCCTTCTATAGAAGGCTATTTTGTCCGAAATTATAGTACCCTCTACAGCTGTGATGGCCGAGAGGTTAAGGCGTTGGACTCGAAATCCAATGGGGCTTCCCCGCACAGGTTCGAACCCTGTTCACAGCGATCTCTACTTGTGACTTTAATTTATAGGTGAAGAAAATAAACTTGAGGTCGCCAATATGTCATTTAATTAGATGTAATAGGAATCATTTATCCTGCTAAAGCATAATGATATTTATTTATTAGTTCTTGAAAATGTCTAATTGTTAAACACAAAAAAATGTAAATAGACAAAATACTTAAAATCAAAGGAAACTGCAAACCATCTGGTAGGAAATACAACATAAGCCCTTCCTTAATATCATGATTAGATTTAATATAATTCAATTTAAACAATGTTGATGAGATCTGTATAACCACCTGGATAACATATAATTTTTCAAAGTAAATTGTTCTATATCTCAATTTAATAATTCTTATCAGTTCTACAGTATATTCAGATATTGAAAATGAATGAAAAATGTATTGAATTAAAACATAACTAAACAAGGTAATATTGATCAAATATCTTGCTTTTTTTTATTCCCACTCATCAACAATTGACATTTTAGAAATGTATCATTTCAGTATTCCCCATCCAGTCCTCTTAGTCTTATTTTATTGCTATTGTAGATCTTTTTTTTTTTCACTTGGCTCTCGTTGGAGGAGGAGGCCTTTTCTCTGTCTCCTACTCCGTTCCCTGTCTAACCTGCATAGATCTGTGTCTTGTCTGATGTGTGATTTCAGAAAACATCAGTGATCGATACAGCTGTGATGGCCGAGAGGTTAAGGCGTTGGACTCGAAATCCAATGGGGTTTCCCCGCACAGGTTCGAAC